TAATATTGGGATTTCCCACCTAAAAGAAAATGTAAAATAAGCTCGTGTTTGCAGTGCTATGCTGTGCGTTATCTACAGGCTTCTTTTCAGCTCTTTCTAATGCAATGTTTGGTCTCCCTGCCACTTGATTTTAGAAGCTAAGCAATAAAAGTCTATTTATTTGGCTTACCGTTCTTGTTCGATTGTATTTATCTGTTCCAATAGTCTGAGTTTTTCGATTTGTTAATGTATATTCATTTTACTAGTTTGTATTTGTATTCATAATTTCCTTTACTTGGTGCAGATCATTGGGAGCTTGCAGTCAGTACAGGATTCATTATTTCAGATTACAAACAGGCTTCGGGAGACAATTTTTCCATTTAAACCACCCTTTGCCCCTTCGCATATGCCTCCTCATCGAGACATGCCTCCACCTTTTCTCAGGCCAATTCACGATCCTTCTTCTCCAGGTTACTCTTCCCCAAGGGGCTTTCCCCGTGGCACTGACCATGTTGGTATACCGGGCAAACCTGTTGAACCTTGGCCTGCTTTGTCACGCTCTGTGGATCGTCATGGTCCAACATATCAAGACCATGTTCCCTATCCTTACGGCAGAGAGAGACGAGGACATGGTCAAAGACTGTCCTCGCCAGGAAGATGGACTTCTGAGGTAGGTGAATGGGCTGCTTAGAGTATGCTTGGCTATGCTGTAAAAAAGCAATGTAGTGTTATGGAAAGTGAATGAAGACCGACTTTTGCAAAAGAAAGTTTTTAATGAAACCTCCAAAAAAGTAGCTTTGTCACGCTTTGACACTCTGGGCGACCAAATTGCCACTTGGCAATTCTGTGTTGGTTGGTGGAAAAACTGTTTTTTCCACCAACCAATTGTGAACCAATTGTGATTTGCTATTTGGCAATTTTGTCATCAAGAGAGTCATCTCGAGTATTACTATAGCAAAACTCTTTTTGATATTAAAAAATGTTATATCTTTTCCTTTTTTAGACTTAGCCTGACATGCTCTCTTATTAAAAAATGATTACAGTTAGAATCATTCCTTGTACGAATCATCTTTTTGGGATTCAGCCAACATATTACTTACTCCTCTTTCCTTTTCCAGGCTGTTGGCTCCGTAAATGCAACAGGAGCTGCTGATGTTGGAGGCAGCTTTGCAAACAGGTATCCCTTTGGAAAGTGGAAGGTGGCTTCGTGGTTATTTTTCTCTTATTATAGTTCGATTAAAAAAAATTAATGCATATTCAACTTTCTGTTTTAGACGACCAAATGTGTGTATCATAAATTAGACAAACTTCACAATTAGTTTTCATGATTGGCATAAACTATATTCTTCGGCTCCATTTCTTTTGTTTCTTGAATCATTTATTGGTTGCTAATGTGAAATTATTTTTATTCAGTAAAACTGCTGGGCCCCATGCACCAAGCATCACTATTGAGGTGGTGATTCCTCAGGCGTTGTTAGGTCATATTTATGGAGAGAACAATAAAAATCTTGATCAGATAAGACAGGTGATTGATTCATGCATCCCTTGAGAATGCACTGGCATACGTGTATCTAAATCTTTTTGCGTTTGTAATTCAGATGTCTGGTTCTAATGTGGTTGTTCACGATCCAAGACCCGGCGCTTCTGAAGGCACGGTCATAGTATCTGGAACGCCTGATCGAACGCGCATTGCTCAGATACTTATTCATGGTTTCATTCTAGCCGAGCAGAATCCTTAAATTCTTGGCTTGCTTAGTTAAGACTTGCGAGCCAAATTGTACAGAGGTAGGGCAGCTTTGTTTTTATCCATCCCTCAGTGGTTTATGCCTTTGATTTTGATCTGTTTTCTTCTGCACTTCTTTATTTGTGCCTTGTTAAAATGTTTGGTGCAAAAGTGCAGTGATGTTGTTTCCCAACCTATAATACAAAATCCGGACAATTAAACGCTGAACCAAGCATGTTCAGAAGATGTTTATAATCTATTTAAACGAGTTGTAAATAAGTGGGTGATACTTTTAGGTTTTATGAAATGTATGGATAAAAAGTGATATGATCGATTATGAACAGATTATAAACAAGAGTCGAGCATGTTTGAAAGTTGTTTATAGTCGTCTTTAAATAATAAATGAATAGAAATAAGTATTGGATAAGTTACTTATAGATCTCGCAAAAGATGTGGAT